TGCCTGGCAGCTGCTGGTTTTTAAAAAAAAAAAAAAAAAATATTAGATGACCAAAAAGTCATGGGATTTCGGGCACTTTTTTCGCTGACTAGAAGGCAAATAGTTTTTATAAGCCCACATTTTCATGTGGATGTATTGTCGTCGGCCCTGTCCAATTCTTATCTGATTTTGACGAAACTTGAAATATAGGTTTATCTCCGACAGATCTCGATTCCTTTCGATATGGGCATGTATCAGATCGAAATTTCATGGATTATGGCCCCGGATTATACGAAAAATCACGTTTTAATTTGTGGACACTCTAGAGGTCTCAATTTTCATCTGATTTTGATGAAACTTAAAATGTATGTTTAAAACCCAACGATCTTGGTTTTAGCGTTTTAGCCTGTGGTCCCTCTAGAGGTTTCAATTTTTATCTGATTTAAAAATATGTTTGAATATATCCCCGTTATACCCAAATGATGGTTGAGTGCAAATTTCGTGAAAATCGGACTAAAACTGCAGGACAAAATGGCTGCCCCTCTTACGGAAATAGTGTAAATATATGATTTTTCAAAGTTGTGGAACCGCTAGAGGCCACAATTTTGATCCAATTTTGATGAAACTTTAAATTTATATTTATATCACAAAGATCTTAGTTCCTTTCGACATTCATGCATATCCAAACTTAATTTACTGGATTATGGTCCCTGATTTTTCGAAAAATCTTATTTTTAGCTTGTGGGCTAGAAGTCACTTTTCTGATTTCACGAATTGTAAAATCAGGATATTATGTTCTTTCAAGGGTGCCTGGTTTTATTCTTGAGAACCTTAAATTGGTCTAAAAGCACATATTTATGTAAAATGAATGTAAAAAAAGTGATTTATATTCAATATTTTAAAAAATTCTTGTGAAATACGTGAACAGTTTACATTGAACGACAGTTTTTTTACGCCTGCTAATCCCATTCTACAGGTTTTTTTTATTATTATTATTTTGTTATTAATTACTTCTGGATTGTCTTGTGCTGAGAAATAGGTAAGCTGTGATCTGTTTGTCATATATCACTGTAAAATGCATAGTATGTAGAATCGATTTCACAGTATTTATTAACTGTTTTTTTGTGGGTTAGTGGCTTAGTCCCCATTGCATCTAGAAATGGTTAATTGTGATTATTATTGCATCTAGAAACAGTTAATTGTGTTTATTATTCATGGAAACTCATAAGAAATATATGTGTTGTCAGTAGTCGCTTAAACTACCAGAACCGTATGTCAGTATTCCTTACTTGTGTCAGTATGTAAAAAATAGCATGAGTAATTTAACTAACCATGGTTAAATGAAAAATAAACCCCCTCTAAATATGAAACAGGAAGTGGTTATCTCCTAATTCACGTCCATCCACATAAAATAAGTTGGTTGACTTGGCTTTGTTATCGTATGAATATGTATCCATTGTTTTTGTTATGAATACAGTTTATTAATACAAAATAAACCAAAACAATTTTATGTACAAAAAATAAGACACAGGTTAAAATAGCTAAGTCTCTAACTCTGTATCATCCCAAATCTTCGACATTGAAAACACGAATAATTTATCAATTCAAATCAACATTGATGTTGTGATCTTACCGGGAAAAGATGGGCTTCAAACGGTGACACCATATTCTTATCTGGAGAGTATGCGCAATAAATACTATCAGTGTATACCAGTGATGGGATTTTTCCTGTATATTCCGGACTTGTCTGAATCGTTTTTCCAAACGCCCAAAATTGTCCGACCGGGAATATGCCCAATCAGACATCAAGACATGGTGAATAATATTCAAAATTCCGAAATGAATATAGTTTACTGAGTGTATAACTACCACGTCAACCAGATTATCATCGATAATACGCTGGATTATTAGGTAGTTAAGTGATCAACGTATTTATCGTGTTATACGGTCTATAAACCTTCCTTGAATAACTACTTAATCTGCCTTGATTGACTGACTTAATCCTTTGTAGGACAATTTATCAATCTAATCTTAAACAGAAGCCATTGTTTCCCCTTTGTTGGACTATTCATCAATCCATTATAATTATAATCTTCGTGTTAACCTCGTGGTTTCTGCATTGTCAGACATTTTAATCGCATTGATGTGAGCCGACAATATGTATAAACTAATCATAGAAGTCACATATTGTAAGAGTATATAATGCCCAGATCAATAGACAGTCATTATAATTCGTCTGCGATATCACTTCGGTGGAACGAGCGTTAGATAAAGCTATTTCACACACACACATATCCGAAAAATACAAGACATTGCTAGCACGCGGTTACAGCACTCGGAAAACCTCGGCAGATTCCGTTACTCTACATCTATGACGGTATGACGGTAAGTGATATGTACATACGAACTTGCCGGTTCTAGAAAGAAGTTATCAAAATTGCGTTATTCCAAGCATGTTTAGAATTTTCAGAGCAAAGTTGTCCATGTTTGAAGAAAATCTGATTAGGTACATCACTTACCGTCATACAGCCGAGGCTAGATGTAGAGTAACGGAATCTGCCAAGGTTTGCCGATTGCTGAACCGGTATTAGAAATCTCGCGAGACGCGTGAAATTATGAAATGAATACATGACTAAATTCACGCTTCTAATGTCGAAGAAAAGATTATGTTTTGATGGCATATTCTCGATTTATTATCATATTTTGAATGGGGTTTATGTTTTTAAATAAAGAAATAAGTAATCTAGGCAATGTTGACGAATATGTCGATTGGAATAGTGTAAGTACTTAATTGTTTTAGATGATAGCGCGTGCTAGAGTAGAATGCGATTATTTAGTGGATGGTGTCATTCCTCGTTGTGGTATAGCGACATTTATTGCCCAAAAAATTTCGGGATGTCATATTCTTACCCTCTGTACATAAGTCGTAACGGAGTATAAGACGAATGCCGGACTTCTGCTGAAAAATGTAGCGACTTATGATCCGAAAATACGGTAATTTTGGAGGAATTTGAAACAGTACAGATCGGCAGTAGTCGGCACGCTTCCATTCTATCGTATTACGAATTTTGTAGGAATATTACTGACATAAATTTGTATACTGTACGGGAATTAAATATGAAAAATAAAGAGGTGCACCTATTTTTATATTACGGACGAATTTGAATATTTTGTTTACACATGATTTTTGTGTGGTCTAAAAACTGCCATCTTAAATAACGATAAGAGTTATGTCCCTTTATTTTCGATAAAAATGTCCGACAAGAAAAATTTTGAATTCCCATCATTGGTGTAGACTGTAATAACTAGACGTTAGAGATTGCCATTCGTTTGAGACTTCAAAATATTCGTTTGAATATTTTGTTTACACGTGATTTTTGTGTGGTCTAAAAACTGCCATCTTAAATAATGATAAGAGTTATGTCCCTTTATTTTCGATAAAAATGTCCGACAAGAAAAATTTTGAAATCCCATCATTGGTGTAGACTGTAATAACTAGACGTTAGAGATTGCCATTCGTTTGAGACTTCTGGCGTATTTCGCCGAACATAACAGATTTGAAATTAGAGTAAAAACAGAAACGATTGAATGTAAATCAGTATATATACATTCATATTACATTATTATATGCGCTGCGACCCATTTGTGTCAGTTTCTAGGTCCCAAATATTAGCAATTTAGCTCCTTTAAATTTACTGTTCGTCATAAACACGTGGATCACACATGTATAGACCTCTAGAGGTCACAATTTTGATCCGATTTTGATGAAACTTAAAATACATGTTCATAACCCAAAGATTTTGGTTCTTTTCGATATACGCGCATATCGGATTGTAACTTCCTGAATTATGGCCCTTGATTGAACAAAAAACCACGTTTTTAGCTTGTGGTCCCTGTAGAGGTCACAATTTTTATCCGATTTAAAAAACGTGTGAATATATCACCATTACACACTAAGATCTTGGTTTCTTTTGATAATCGTGGATACCCGGACTTAACTTCCTGGATTATGGCCCCTGATTGTTCAAAAAATCACATTCTCTAGAGGTCACATTTTTTTTTCAGATTTTAAAAACCGTTCCACCATTATAAAGGTTGAATTCGAATTTCGGGAAAATCTAAATGAAACTGCCCGGCAAAATGGCTGCTCTTACTACGCAAATTGTGTAGAATTCTGTAATACGAAAGTTGTGGACCCTCTAGAGGTCACAATTTTTATCCAATTTTGATGAAATTTAAAACATATCTTTATATCTCAAAGATCTCTGTCTTTTTTGATAATTGCACATTTCAGGCCATAATTTTCTGGATTATTGCCCCTGATTGTACAAAAAATTGGGTTTGTTTTCAGCTTGTTCTCTATCCATCTCTTGCAAAATGTGGGCGTATCCTGCCTGGCAGCCGCTGGTTGCATTACTTTGGGCACTATTGACAAACAAACGCTTTTAGTCATTGATCAGTAGTACCTGAAAATAATGCATTTTCGCCGATTTTGACACCCTATTATGTTTATCCGGAGCTCGAACTAGTCCTTATTTGTCCAGAAATGTGTTATATGTGGCAAACCCTAATAAATAATCATTACCTTTGATGCCACTGATTGCAAAGAGCGGGTTGTTGAGCCTTAGAATGTCATCAATTGAAAAACGTAGAAACATTCTTTGCAAAAATAATGGGTGTAAATCTTCATGATTATTTCGTGCAACAAAAGACCACCACCATGCCTATCAAACAAAAATAATATCAGTGATTGTCGGACACAGGGTTGTACGGAAACAGGTACTGTAAAGTATCTAAAATTAGGCTTAAAATGTCTGTTTAGAGGGGGAAAAATCACCCCTCACAGTTAATACACAGTTACAAACTTTCCGACAAAATTACTCTAGCACAACTCATAGAAGACTCAATTACCACATTTTCATTCAAATCCACTGACCGAAGCCATATCACTGTTTTCGAATTTTGCATGGTTGTACCACGGACAAGCTCTTAACTATTTGGTGATTTTTTTTTTTTTACAGTTCGTAATGAAACAGCTTCAGTCGTTGTCATAATGAAATTCCAACAAAATTTCAACCAAGTTAGTTCTAAATTATCAGAATTCGAAAGGTAAGTACTTTTAATTTGTAAGATCACCACAATAACGTTTGACGAACGTAGAGCTAAATCAAAGAGTCATATGTTGAAGAGTGAAAGATACGAGTGTCTGGACGTTCTAATGCGTTGCTATGGTAATCGACGGATGCCGGGGGAAATAGGTAGCCTACTGCGTGTTGCGGTATACCAGTTCTTGGCAATATACTAAACATTTTATTAGAATCTAAATGGGTATATTAAATACATATATGATAATCTTTGGAAAATTGCCACATTTTTGGATATTGATAAAGACGAGAGTATCCTCGTTGAAACCTCGCTTAGTATTAAACTCAGTAATTGTGTATCCATAAAATTGTACCTTGTGTTATTAGTAGAGGTTTTAGTGAGAGAAGTGATGAAGAGAGTAAAGGTGGCAGAGTAGTGTACTTGAAGTGAGGACTGTATTTAAAACTTAGGGCTTGAAACTTAATTGCCCTCAATGGCAATACGGAGACTTGAAAAACAGCAACTTACTTGCTGTAAACAAACCTATTAAACTTCATTTCAATAGACATGTTTTAAGCTCTATTATCCAGTAGAAAAAAGGGAGTTAACTCCATTTAACAAAGAAAAGGCACACATCTGATTTATGTGAAAACATCCTCCCCCCGGATGCAGAATCAATAAAATTTTAACAAATTTAGCTTTACAGTTCAAATATCTGCCTCTAATAAATGGAGCTGTCGAACGGGTCTTCTTAAAACACCAGTGAAGCTCTTCAATAAAACTGAACGAATAAGATTATCACGTCCCAAGTAGATTTCTTGTACTCTTCCACGTAACCACTGACCACTGGTGTTTTAAGAAGACAGTGCCGGGGGCGGGGTGTCCATCAAATGGGCACAAAATGAGACCCAACTTTTCTAGAATAAAACTTTGCATAGAATACAATGCCAAGTCTTAATCAGTCTGCTGTCGGGGCTTTTTTCGAGATATTCGGGGTCAAAGGTCAAATGAGGTCATTTGCACTGAATGTGAATGCGCAGCCATTCTTGTATCATGAAAACATGCTGAAAATGATTGAAAGTAATCAACCTTTCAATAAAAATGTTAACTTGCTAAATTTACCTTTGTTCTTTGTGACCCCAGAGGCCAAAAGGTCACATTTTCCGTTTTTGCACTAGGAAGATTTAAAGCAATAAAATGTCAGCGTAAAATATAAAAACTAAAGCGAAACATGTTCTAATTGATAAAAGGAACATTTAAAACTTATCTGTAGGTTTTCTTAGCACCGTACATTTACTTTGGAACGTCGAAAAAGATCTTGCATAACAGAAACAAAACACCTTGAAACCGGTTTAAAAAATACGTAAAAACTGTCAAATCGAAATCTCCCCGATTTAGTTTAACAACGATTGTTATACATAATGATACTAGTTGTCCGAAAAACAATTGAATAGTTCCATGGTAAAAAGATATTTTAATACTGGATAAAATTTTCATGTACAATTCTACATATGAACGTCATTTGGGTTAGATATAATAACGTCTATATAAAGCTGTTCCCTGAGGTCTCAGAGCAGACCCCATTTCTGTTCCCACCGAGGTCTCGGAAGACCTACTTTCCCGGGGTCCCAGGTCTCTATGCTCTGTCCTCTCAAAGTATGCCTTTTTGTAACGTGCAGGGGTATCTGTCACATGATCTCGGCAGACAATCCTGATTGGTTTTCATGTTGTATAAACAATTAAGCTGATTGGATAACTCGTAGTCGCATTGAGTTTGATTGACAGATAGGGGACGCTTAAGTTAACAGAACAATGAAAGGCTTATGACTTAGTGTCTGTTATTATAGCACGCTGAATAAATAGGCGTTGGTAATCAGAACAGTGGAAACTAATTATAAAGAGTCACACATCTTAACTCTAGACAATAAGTGTTAAACTTTAATCTTATATCATATAATTTGTCTAAAGGCACGCCGAGTATACAAGTTTATATTACATCTTACATAATACTATGTCAAATATCCCACACCTGCTACGGATTAACTCTTACAATTAATCTGTCACTTAATATGCACTGAGAAGTAGTAAGAGTGTGATTTGTACGTTTAGGGCATAGATATCTCCCGATTTGGTAAATTTCTATGAATATCGGTAAAATTCTAATTATCGCAACAAATCTAATACGAAGAGGGTGTTAATTAACAGGGGTGAGAAATTGACTGAGTGGTGATATAATTATCGCTAGGGGTGAAAATCTTGGCGATGGTGTGTTTTCTGTAACGGGGTGTTAATTAACGAACGGGTTAAAAACGACTGACAAGGTGTATATTCTTTGTTTGGTGAGGTTTCTCGAAAGCGTGTTATAACTGCACCAAAGGTGTTTTATCAAGGACCAACAGGCTTTATCTGACGCGCAGATTTTAAATCCAATTTACCGTGCGATTTCTTGTTCGACCGTGTGTTTTATGCAGATCGGTCTTTGTTAAGTGTAGGTCTTTATACATGGATTTATACGTGCTGTAGTTACATATGTTCGTAGTCCCGAAATGACCTAGTTTGTGTCAAGTGGACGTTAAACCCCATTTCTCTCTCTTTCTCTCTCTACATATGTTCGTTCTTATACGTATTTCATTTCTTGATGAATACTACGTGTTTTATACTTCGTACCATAGTCGGACTGCAATTTATATATTTGTCTTTTTTGTGGGTTTAATTTGTTTATATATTATCGTGCGTACCACTGAAGTATAAATGCACATTATTTACCGATATGAACATTTCGAAATCTAAATATTTAATATTTAATCGTGGGTACAGGTTTAGAGTAGTGTTATAGCATGATTTATTTGCTGTAGTGATCAATTTCAACATTTTCACTATACATGTATTCTAAAGTCATAGTTTTAAACTTAAATAGCTTCATTTACAATATTTCCGGCCATATATTATGCTTAATTGAGTCCCACGTCATAAAAGTCTTCAACTTTTAGAACTGTGCATAGCACACATCATGTCCAGAATTTGACGTTTTAACAGCTTAATTAATAAATTTGATAAAGAAAACTATTTCAGAACAACAATAATTTCTTATACACCTTTGATGTAATTAATTGTTCGTTTGACAAATTACGGTTTTGAAATAGGATACACAACACATCTATATTGATTTACAGGGTCATATTTTGAATTTTAATAAACCAAGGTTCATTCAAGAAAATTATTGTTGTGTTCTGATAAATAAAGTGTACCTGGGCCCTGTTTCTCGAAATCTTAACTAAGATAAAACACATTCACTAAAATTGTTGAGCTGGGGCAATGATTAATTTGTTACCCTAATAAAATCTGGCAATTAACAGTTGTTATATAACATCTAGGTCAACGGTGATCCAAGTTGGTGATCAGCGAAGCATACTTCCTGCTCTGATGGCAGTTTGTGTTGCAATATGTGACTTGGAAATACGTTTAATAATTTAACAAATTCAAGAAGAAGAAGAACAACCAAAGGCATCAAATTTTCGCATACATGTATTTCCAATACGACAATTTTTTTGTTTTGAAATATACTGTAGAAAAATAACTTAGTCCTCTAACTTCAGTACGACATGATAATAATGTAATAGTTAGTATTTCATTGTATTTAAATCTTATAATCCCTCTTGTTGTTTTCAAGTACCATGAAGGTATCGGAATCGAAATCCCAGTTAGGATATAAATTTTGATATTATATGTAAGATATGCTTACAATTATACTCAGTTTTGATATTATTTGTAAGATATGCTTACAATTATACTCGTACTCATCCATCACTTTAGAGAATTTTGGCACTGGTAATATAATATGTAGCAAATGATGGGCCACCTTATTCTCACTCGATAATCGTCGCTATTTGATTCATTCTTGCATTTCCCATGAATGGTGATAGTACAATTTGAAATAATAATATCCGATCATGTTTGTATATTTTACATGCCGTATGAAGCCACGGTTTAACTATCAAAATAATTGATTCTCTTCGAAAAGAATTGACGGCCATTTTGAATATTTCCTTCTAGCTCACTCTTAAATTCCACTTGTTGACCATGTTTCTTTTGAATCGCCCTAATGTCATTATTGGAGCAGAGCTAATATGCATAGAAGCGAATGCTTCGGCCCATATCAACTTCCAATTAAAGAAAAAATAAAGCAAGCAGATAATTTATACGTTACAATTTAATTAAAACGTTTAATAAATGAAGGCATATGCATATCAATAATGTAATAATAAATAATGGTATTGCTTGTACTTTTGTCTTGTCTATTTTACTTGTGTGTTTGAACATTTCTCTGATTATAATATAATTGCTTGGGCTGGGTTTTTTTGTCCCCCGCCTTTCGAAGAAAGCAGGGGACTATTAAAATGGGTTCGTCCGTCTGTCTGTCTGTCTGTCCGTCTGTCTGTCCGTCCGTCTGTCTGTCCGTCACACTTTTTGGGACACAATAACTCTCTTCCTAATTGAGCTAGAATGTTCAAACTTGGTGTATGTGTTTATTAGGTCAATGCCTTGATGGAGTTCGAAGATGAGCATTTTCCGCTTAGGGTAAGCAGAGATAAGCAATTTGATTGGTTGATGCTTTGGGACACGATAACTCTCTTCCTAATTGGGCTAGAATGTTCAAACTTGGTGTATGTGTTGATTAGGTCAATGCCTTGATGGAGTTCGAAGATGAGCATTTTCTGCTTAGGGTAAGCAGAGATAAGCAATTTGATTGGTTGATGCTTTGGGACACGATAACTTTTAATTGAGCTAGAATGTTCAAACTTGGTGTATGTGTTTATTAGGTCAATGCCTTGATGGAGTTCGAAGATGAGCATTTTCCGCTTAGGGTAAGCAGAGATAAGCAATTTGATTGGTTGATACTTTGGGGCACGATAACTCTCTTCCTAATTGAGCTAGAATGTTCAAACTTGGTGTATGTGTTGATTAGGTCAATGCCTTGATGGAGTTCGAAGATGAGCATTTTCCGCTTAGGGTAAGCAGAGATA